GAATAAATTTTTATAAATACATAAATATACTTTTGTGAAAATATTATACGCATTTTTGTGAAATTATTTAATTTTTTCTATACTTCTATATATGTAATTTTAATCATCTTCATGTGACAAAAACTTCAACTTATAATATATATTTTTGAAATCTTATAATATTTTTAATAGTACAAAACTGCATCTGTACAATTATAACATGCGGGTACGTTTGTAAGGCAACGCGTGGAACTTCTTTAATGAACATAATTTTGCTAACTGAACTTATATAATTTATTTTTTCAACTGTTCAAACTATTTTTGCAGATCTTGTTAATCTGTTGCATATATTAAATTTTGAATATACCTATACAATTTTTTAATACATACTGAATCGACCAAGTGTTTTTGTTAAACTCTGGAACAACATATTTTCTATCGCATTTTTATATATATTGTTCTATCTACCAATTTGTCAACAGGCCAATAAATTCATGTAAATTTTTAATATAAAATTTTTAAATTTTTTATTCAATAATATATAATTATATTTTTTTATTAACAATTGTTATTGACTTGTGCAATACACTTTTGCTACCTTTTTTTCTTTGTTGTGTTGTGCATTTTTTAACTTCCCGTAGGGCAAGTTATAGTAATCGTAAAAAAATCGAAAATGAAAATTTTTATATATCTTTACGTTTCAGAGGTTTCTGAATATTTTGGCATACCTTAGAAAAAATGGATGTATGTGTGGTGTGTGTGTGTGTGTGTGTGTGTGTGTGTGTGTGTGTGTGTGTGCGTGTGTGTATGTATGTGCGGATACAAATTTTCGTCGACGATTTCGGGAACACCGATCAACCGATTTGAATAATTCAAAAAACATTCGATTTGTATTGATAAGGAGACGTGCTGATTAGTTTTTGGCGAAGTCAGGTCCAGCCGTTCCGAAGATACGGGGCAAAAAGTGCCGAAAACGGTAACTCAGTTTTTAAGAGAACGGAGCGTCCGATTTTAATAATTCAAAAAACATTTTACTTGTATTGACAAGGTGAAGAACCGATCAAATTTTTATAAAGGCAGGTCTAGCGGTTTCGGAGATCTAATGAAAAAAGTAAAAAAAAAATGCCATCTGGCCGTCAAAAATGATCATTAGACATATGCACATCAAATTATCAGATATTTTATAAAGATTTTAACAATAAGTATAATTTTGGTTTACATTCCTATGGGTTCCGTACCAATGTTTACGCGTTAGACGTCGACGCGGCGATTACGCGGTTTGATATTTCGTCTTTATACAGTTAAAGCAGTACGATTGCTTTGAAAAAAAGTTTAGATCTTTCAAAATATGTCAAAATAAAGAAAACATTTTTTTTCAAAAAAAAAATTTAAAAAAAAAATTAAAAAAAAAAATTTTTTTCAAAAAAAAGTAATTTTTTGTCTAATTGTTTGTCAAAAATCTTATTTTTTCGAAGTAATTTTTTTCAAAAATGTTAATCGTTTTTAAAAAAATAATAATTTTTGGTACGGGAAGTTCCAGCAATTTGCCTTAAGGCACGATGCCCTAATTGCCTTAAGACAGAATTCCACTTACAGCTAGTTATGTAATATTTAGTGTACGGCAATTTAATTCAACTTGCATCAAATTTTTCATTACAATTTTTAAATTCTTGATGAAATTTTTAAATATTTTTTGGAACAACTTGTTTCTTTTACTTAGTCTGTCATCAAGATTTGGCAATAAATTAAAACAATATTGGACATACTTGCGCAATCCCAAAGCTCCATATCGGATGGGATTTATTATAGATTTATATATCAATAACTTATTATCAAGTTACATGATTGATTTGCGTCTCATTAGCCAATTTAGGTCTGTAACTTTCTGTCACAATAAAAAGTTGAAATTGAAAATTTTTGCATATCTTCACGTTTTGGTTTCTGAATATTTTGGCATACCTTAGAAAAAATGGATGTATGTGTGTGTGTGTGTTTTGTGTGTCCGCAATTTTTCGATCCCGTTTTCGGCCGCACGGATCAAGCGATTTGAATGATCCAAAAAACATTCGATTTCTATTGATATGGAGATGTGCTGATTAGTTTAGGACAAAGACAGGTCCAACCGTTTTAGAGATACGGAATAAAGAGTGCAAAAAATAGAAATCTCGTTTTTGAGTGAACGGAGCATCCGATTTGAATGATTTAAAAATTTTCTACTTGTGTTGACAAAACGTTTGCTTTTGGTGAGAGACACATTTTTTTTTTAATTTCAAACAATTTTGTTTGAATATCGAAAATACTGATAATAGAAGATGATATGGCAAGATTTGTTCTTGTATGTAGTAAATATTGGACCCAGCACTCTTCTTTATGGAACGACAGCTCTTATTGAGAAAGAAGTACAAGTTTCATAGTTAATCCTGATTTTGAAATGAATTCATTTTCGGTGGCGGAAAAACACTGCACCTAAATTTATAACCTGCTCGGTCACATTTACAAAATATTCAGATATGTCGAATAACTTTATCGAGACAAGAAATAAGCGGAGGTTTTAGTCGGTATTATACCCAGGCGGTATTGAGTCCGACATACCATGACAATTGACCTAGTCTTGGTATGCGTAAATGCATTTCCTTCGCTATATAAAATAAAAAAAAAATGAAAAGAGCAGGTATTTCTTCGCTACGACTTTTTATTAGTATGAACCAGTTCACAATTTATTATTGGCAACGATCTCAATTAATTATTTCTCACAACGTCCTTATTGTTTATACGCTATGATAAATTTATAATATATAAGAAATTTATTTTTGTAGAAAATCTATTTATTTTATTTTATTATTTAGATATAGTTAATATCTATTATTTTATATAAGTAAAGTACCAAAGACTTTCCAAATTACATTTATTGGAGTAAACTGAATTTATTATTAATAATGATATAATAATAATGATATATATTGAAATTATAGTTTCTTTATGATTTTCATATTAATGAAAAGTTATATAGTTCTTATCGTTAGTGTATTTATGTATATATTTTATTGTATTTATAAACATATAAATGTAAACAATTACATTTTTAAACCTACTAATTTTTTTAACCTTCCGAAATCAGTTTTCCTCGAGCAGTAGTACTGTTCGGATCACTTACTGGTTCAATAAATAAGATAATATTTATTCAATCATAACAAAATTAGTGAGCTGTGTAATATGAAAACATATTCAAACCAAACAATAGTGAAAGTAAGCCCTTTCTTAGGAGGGCACCTAAGAAGTGCAGTGAAATTGTACAGTGTAATTCCAGTGTTACTAAATAATTATGCAAATCAGCGAAGAAAATAGTCCAACTATTCCAATTGTACAACAATACTGAACGACACCTCAAAAACCAATAGTGTATACGCGCAAAACCATTAAATTATTAAACATAAAAACATTAATCACCAATCACCCGAAACTGTTAATCGCATGAAAACAGAACAAGTTATACGTAATTTACGTAAATATTGCACGTAAGCACCCGCGCATCCGAGCTTGTCCAAGAATATAAATTTCGGTAAAAATTCTTTATAAAAAAGAAATTCCTGACATTTGGTGCTTGTTCCAATTATTAATTATTTACAAGTTGTTGTTAATATGTGTAAGTAATAATTTAAGAATTTCAAAACCACTGACGATGGCGCAGAATTTAACGTCGATCCGATTGGATAAATAAAGATTTTTTAAAATCTTTACTTTATTTATATTTTTTACTTGATGTTACGCCCTCTAAGAAATTAATCATACATTTCAACATCAAATTTAAACACCTTCAATATATATATATATATATATATATATATATATATATATATATATATATATATATATATATGTTTCTTGACAGATGGAACGTACCTAGTTCCGAAACGTCGACAGTAAATAAATAAATAAAGAAAGAAATAGTTTATTAAAAACTTTTTTTGTTTTTTATTACTTTTGGATTCTTATTCGAACTCTACAAAAATTCACAAATCCAAGACTCTACCATTTAATATATATATATATATATATATATATATATATATATATATATATTATATATATAATATATAAATAAATAGTTTTAAATATGTTATCATAAATATTAAATTTAAGGATAGTTTTAAGGATTGAAGAAATTTTAAATATGGTAATCATTTATGAGAATTTGAAATAATATTCAAATCATTATTTTTCTCAATTTCAAAATAATTTTTTTAAGCAATTTTTCATCAGAAGGTTGTTTTTTCAAGGGACAAAAAATGGTTAAAAATTCGATAATTAAGATAAAGAGATTAAATATAAAATACTTTATACTTAATACTAATATATTTTTAGGTTTTTTTAACTCGAAGGTTGTTTGCGAGAGTTGTAAGGTTTTCAAGGTATTGAAAATGATTGCAACGTAAATTTATTAGAAAATACTTTGCAATTTTACCCTTTGATATTGAACTCGTTTTCTAGCGATAAAATAGCTCAATGTCAATTTATACATTATACTTAAGGGTACGATTAGCCTATTTCCAAAATTTTACGCACAGTAATAAAATTAAGAGGCTACATCATTTTTTCCTTTATATTTACTGCGCTATTAGTCGTATATTTGATTAAAACTGTTATTAATTATGTTTAAATTATGTAAAAATAAATATCATAAATAACTGAGTTATTTGAAATTCGCGCCGCGTCTTTGATAAGCGCTGCCACCTATTGCATACATCACGCGTTTCTTTGACGTTTCAAATGTCATTGACGCTCAGTGCGTCTTTAACTGTCAGAAATGTAAAATAAATCTAATTAATTTTGATTTAACTTAGTAATATGTATATATATAATTATGACCATTTATAATATTGATAACTATAAATAATAATTATAAAATATATTAAACAATATATGATATCATCGTCTACACTTTAAAGTCCAATAATGACTTCTATTATGGATCAGTATGAACAAGCAAATCAAAAAAATATTGCTGGTGCAATATCAGATGAACCAATTTCCGGGTAATAATTACACTGACAATTTGAATCCTTCAGTGACATTTGCTTGCATGTACCTAATTTATTCTTACCTTAAAGATACAATTCAAGGATGGAGGATAGTACACCAATTTTTAGCAAACAAAAAATGCAGTTTACGCCCTCGGATAAGATTACACATTTGGCAGTTGCTAACGATATTTTGGTATTGGCCATGGCAAATAATACTTTGTTTAGAATTAATTTGAAACAGCCTGATAAAAATGAAGGTATAGTGAATATACTACATATGCATTTTATGTCGGCAGAATCATTTGTTTATAATATTACTTTTATTTTCGAATCACCTTTTTTTTTAATCTGTGCTTACATTGCACATTTTTATAACAAAATCTGCTTTATTTTTAATATATTTATTTCAATATTTATGTACATGTTTATTTACTATATATAGATTAAATAACTTAATATTGCTTATCAAATATGTACACAAGTTTTTTATATATATTTCACTTTTGCCATATTATTTTTTTATACTATTTAAAAATTAAAGTATTAATCTTTTATTTAATTTTATTTATGTTATTTCAGAAATATCTCTGAATAAACCTGCATACAAAATAAGCGAAATATTTATTGATCCATATGGTAATCACCTGCTTATTGCCTAACATCAAGACAGCCTGAATCTTCTAGTGAATTAATATATCTCAATAGGAAAAGTAATAAACTTAAAGCTTCGAATAAGTTTCGAGGCTACGAAATAACTGAGGTTGGCTGGAATTGTAATGTGTGCTCTGAGACTACAACAGGTCATATTTTGCTAGGAACATCTAAAGGTTTAATTTTCGAAACTGAAATGGGATTAGATGGTGACAAAATATTTCATAGTAGTCTTGAGCAGTATTGGAGACAAGTAAGCCAATTTGTTTTTATATTTTATATTTTTTTATATATTTAATTATGATCATTTAAATATAAAATATTATTAAAATTACTCAAGCTTCCTAACTATTTACCACTTTATGGTAACAGGGAGGTAGAAGGTCTGGTATGTTATAAATATTATCTTCAAGTATTTATTGCATTATTTTTTATTTAACAAGTAACAAAAAAGTTATTATTAACCCTCCGTCGGTCGGATATTTATTTGGCTTTGAATGGACCACTCTGGTCTGGCTGGATCACCATTCATTTTACATGCATTTATATGGGATAAATGAGTTTTTGGTGTCTTATATATTAACGATTGTTAGTATTAAATATTTATAGTTTAGATTTTTTCTTTTTCTTACTGTCTTTTGCATGTGTTGAGCTTGTCTCTAATAAAAATATTTCAAAAAACAAATCATGGAATATAAAAAAATCGTTGCTTTTTTGTTAATTTTTCTGTTTTATATCAATGAAAAACAATATTTATTCTTCTTTGGCGCCTTCGAAATGAGCTGTAAAACTCAAAGTGAAAATATAATTTCAATTGTACTGCATACTTACGGCTACAGGTTTGCCAAAAAAGTTTTTAATGCAGTATGGGTAGAAAAATTGTTGATAATGTGCAATGTGCGCATTATCCATCCGATTTTCAATGTTTGCGATAACAAATAAGTTTGATAGGTTTTTAAAGAATTTTCATATGTGTGCGTGTAAATACTAACTTTCATGTTACAATGTATGGGTGGTCTAGACAGACCACTCCGACCGTTTGAAGTATAAAAAAGTTAATATCCTTCTAATTATTCTTCTGTACATTTTTTCGTCCTGATTTTTTCATTGATCGACAGCTAATGAACTTTTAGGAAAAGTCAAGAAATTTCAAGTCGATATGATTACTGGAAGTATTTTTTTTTTTAAATTGAAGTCGAAAAAACTCTGGCTAGACCACTCCGACCGACGGAGGGTTAAAACCAACTACAATTCTCCAAATATTTTTTACTTATATATATTTTTTATAATCCCATTTTTTTTCTACAAATATTTTTGATCATCATTCCTTGAATTTATATTTTTACATTTACAAATGTAATGTAGTAATTAATAAATCAAATTTGTATTAAACCATTTATTGCTGGTTGTATATTTGTATTTAACTATTTTACAGAAGATAACAAATTTTCTTATGAATATGTTAAATTTTGTTATGATTTCTTATTTAATTATTATCTTGTCAATTTCAATCCTTGGACAAAACAATTATTTAAAATAATATTAAAGTTAGTGTTTATAAAGTTGTCTATATGAAATTTGTGTAAATAGTTTATTCAATATATCATTTCATCTTCATTGCTTTCACTAATATATTTTAAATCCACTCCAAAATGTTTTTTTTATTCAAATGAATTGTAATCTTTAAATTATCTGTGTACTAGACTCACTTCTTAATTATTATTGCCTTATAATATTTAGGACATGATTTAATTTAATGTTCAAATAAATTTTTAAGTTTTGGTTTTATAAATGTACTCTTTGCAATTTATTTTATTAATCTATTTATCATATAAATAAGTATATCACTTATTTGTAGTGGTTGTAGCTTTGCATGAAACTTTTTAACTATACCATTATGCTTCTCAATTTATTGCAATGCATTCAATAATTTTGTTATCATAATTATATTTGTTATCTTATCGTATTTATATTTGTTATTTTAAAGTAAAAGGAATTTAAGTATTCATGATATTTTGCTTACAGATTTTTGATATTGGCAAGGGAGATGACATCCCAATTACTGGTCTAGAATTTCGCAAAGTCAATGATACAAATAAGTATATTGTTCTTGTTACAACACCACAAAGACTTTATCAATTTTCTGGTACTTCTTCATCAGAAGACAGGTCGCTATTACAGCAAGTTTTCAATTCATATTTAAACAAACCAGAGGAATGTATAGAAATGGGAAGTTCATTGAAATATTCAAAACTGAAATTATACTACAATGAAGTGTCTAGCCTGCCCAAATCTTTTGGATGGCTTATAGAACATGGATTGTACTATGGAAAAGTAATTTATATTAGTGATACTTATTTATGAGGCATTGAACTTTAACTTTTGGTCTACGAAATTAAATTATTCTTATAAATTTTTTATTATTACGAGATTTTATATAATTACTGATTTGGTTAAAGCATTTTTGAAAAACAAAATGTTTTCTCCAAAATTTAAAGATTTTAATATTTAAAATTAGTTTAGTGACATATTTACTAATATTTTATATTTTCAGATTGACCCATATAAATCTGATGACTCAAATTTTATATCCAAAGCTGAAATGCTAGCATTTCCAAATAGAACAAATGATAACTTGAAATCCAAGTCTAAACTATATCCAATAACATTTGTGATGACAGAATTTCATACTCTACTTGTTTATAATGATAAAGTTGTGGGAATTTCGCAATTGAATAATGATGTGATTTTCGAAGACAACTACAATGAAGCTTTTGGGAAAGTTGTTAACATTGCACGAGATCCTGCAAAAGGAACTATTTGGTTATTTACAGATAAATATGTCTTTAGGTAAAACCAAAATTATGAATTACTTGGTGTGTTTGAACTAGATGTTTCTAAGTTAACATATAATGCAGCATATATATATTGTAATATCAGAAAAACATGATTTTCAGTAGCAATTGATTTTGTTTTACTTATGTCTTTAATTTTTAATCATATAATATTACCTATATTAATTTTATGAAGAGAGAAATTATTTCTTTGCAATCACATTTATTTAGTATGAACCAGTATAATCAAATGAACAAAATTTTTCTTGCCATATGCTTTTACCTTGAGGTAATTGTATTGAATCATATATTGAAATATTTGAATTTTCAAATATGCTGCAAAATTTAAGTTAAAAATATTTTATTATTATTTGTAATATTATATTTTATTATTATTATATTTTTTAAATCAGTGCAATATAATACCTGCTGCTTATCAATAATTATGATTATTTTTAAACTTATAACAATTAATTGAATTAATCCTGAATTGCCATTAATTCTATTTATTTGTTTCATTACTGCCTTATGATTAATTTATAAGAATTTTAATTTAGTAAAAATTGTAATTTTATATATGCATTTTTATATCAGTTTTTTTCATGATAATTATTTTAAAATTCAGATACAAAGTCACACGTGAAGAAAGGGATGTATGGAAAATTTATGCTGACAAAAACGAATTTGCATTAGCAAAAAAGTATTGCAATAACAATCCTTTATTTTATGATAAGATTCAAATAAAGGAAGCTGAAATGTTATATAATGAAAAAAAATATAAAGAATCTGCTCTTATATTTGCCGAAACGCAATCGAGTTTTGAAGGTGTTTGCCTAAAATTTTTGGAGCGGAATGAAATTCCAGCACTGAGACTATTTCTTCGTAGAAAATTAGATATGTTAAAACCTCAGGATAAAACGCAAATCACAATGGTTATTATATGGATTATTGAATTGTATTTAAATGAAATAGGTAATTTAAGAAATAGAAACTTATTAGATAGTCAAGAATGCCATGAACTGCAAACCGAGTTTGATAAATTTATTAGGCAACCAGTAGTTTATGAGAATATATGCAACAATAAAAGAGTAATTTATGAATTAATGGCGTCTCATGGAGATAATGGTAACTTGATAAAATTGACAATGTTAAACGAAGACTTCGAAAATGTGATTATGATGCATCTGTATAAAGGACAATACATGGAAGCTTTAGATGTCTTGAAGAGACAAAGTAATAATGAGTTGTTTTACAGACATTGCCCAATACTTATGGAAGAAATACCAAAAAGCACTGTCCAAGTTTTGATTTCAAGAGGAAAACATTTACAACCATCAAAACTACTTCCTGCATTGGTATGGGAAATAGGCTGTATATAGCAAATTTTTTCTATAATTTTTTTGATTGTATCTTGTTTAAAAAAGACTTGATGTCGTTTTAAGTGTATTAACTCATATCTATATTTTATTTTTTTATCAACTTTAAAGCTAGAAATTGTTGACGTCAGAATTTAACGTACATTTTTAATGTGTCACAATTTTGAATTTAAAATATGTTAATATATTTTGTTAATCTATTTTTATGCATTTTGCACATTATTTATATTAACTCAATGAATGAGAAGTGTTTGCATGAAAATCCGATTGCCTAATTTTATGTTTTCTCATCTTTTCAAGTTCTTCTGATTGGAATGAGACCAAATTGGAAAAAGTATGTGTGTGTATGTGAGCTGATTTTTGACTTTTTGTCTACGTTCCCTGCGAAACGGCTGAACCGATTTGATCCTTTCAAAAATTTGATCCATTTGATGTTACTCGAACTTAAGTTTTGTGCAATTGGCCGAGCCGTTTCTTTAATTTACTGTTTAATTAGCGTAAAAGTGTAATTTTTTCTTGCCTGCATTTTAGCCCACAATTTTATCGATTTTAAAAATTCATAAACTGTTCAAGAGATATTGATTGGGTATTAATTGATTAGTTGATTATTTTTTGGGAAAGATTGCCTGGGCCATTTCTTAGTAATTAAATGTTGTAAAAAAAAATTATTGACAATCTTTATGAAACTTTGTATAACGATAGATTTTGTAATCTGTAAAGACATACTTGAATTATAAAATTTCATTAAAGTATAGAATTTCGCCGTGAACTTAAACGATGTAATAGATAAGCTAGTTGGAATCTATGCCAAACATCTATATACATCTATTCTGTAATGTTTTGTAGGTAGCTACTGATTATAGTTGAGATTCATAAATCATAAATAAAATACATTATACAACACGAAATAGATAAAATGAAATGAGTTTATCAATTTAGTTTATAATTTATATAATAACAGATATTATAAGTATGTTTAAAAAATATCAATTAGTTTATCGCATTCATTATTTTTTAGTAAAAGTGATTTTTTTTTTGCGAATTAACAGTTGAGCATTACTAAATAGCTGAATCTCAATCCGGAAGCAACTTGCCTTAAGACAAAATGCTACTTACTACTTCTTATTTTTTATTTTATCAATATTTCAATATATTTAATATCACAAGATTCACAAAGATTTAATTTCAAATATAACTTTGTTTGAGATCTAAAAAATTTGAGTGATAATTTTATTTCTGTTTCAGGTGGGAGCTGCAGGCATCAGTGAGCAACACATGGCAGAAATTATAAAATATTTAGAGTTTTGTGTTCATAGCATCGGTTCAACACAACAGGCAATACATAATTATCTTTTAACATTATATGTTAACCATTATCCCAAGAAATTGATGCTGTATTTGGCAACTCAAGGCCAGGATTTAACCATGATACACTATGATGTACATTATGCTCTGAGGTCAGTAAAATTATTTTATAAATATGTTTATGCAAAGTTTTTTGTCAGGCATTCTGCATTAAATTATGTATTTTTATATAACTATTCGCAAATAGTTTTTTTTTTTTTTTAATTTAATTTTTATCTTTATATAACTTGTAATGAAATTATGAATTTCTAGTATGAAAAACTACAAAAGTTTTCTTTATTATTATTGTTTTTTTTTAAGCAAACAATTTTCACATATATAAATCAATTGTTAAACTTTATTTCAATTTATTATATAAATATATTCTTAAATTTATGCCATTTATAAAGAATTTTATTTCTTTTACCATCATTTTGTCTGAACCTCATATTAACATTATTAACTTTCTACCAGATTTTTGTTGATTTAGTGTATTAGATTTTTTTCTTTTGGATATTGTCAAAAATTAAGTATTCAAGAATAAGTGTACAGAAGGATATTTTAAATTTTGTTATTTTTGGGGATCTGAGCGTTATTAACGCTGAGCGTTATTAGCTATCGTTTTCAATTTACCGATTTACTTGAAATTTTTACAGTGTTTTCTTCATAGACTTATTCTCATCAGTATGAACTATGTTCCCCCTCAAATCTCGATTTTTATTATTTTTAAATATTAGAGAATGTCAAAAAAAGTTCTAAAATAACTATTTTAACTTGTCCATAGTTTATTATATTGTATTAATATATATATAAATTATTTTCATCAGATTATTTGGAGGGCTAAAATCATGGGTTGGCCAGGTGCCAATATTTTTTAGACCCCTTACATATTTTATTTCATTACCTTCTAGAATTAAACATCTATGACTATTTTTATTTATTTTTGTATATATCCTCAAAACATTAATTTAACTTGTAAAAAGAAATATAGTAAAAATATTGTTTGCTGTTTTTTACAGTCTTTAAAAAATCATATAAAATTCATGTCTCTAGATTACCACCTTGAATTTATTAACTGATATATTGTGGATTTCGAATTACTAGTTATGAGATGCGTTAAAAATATTGGTGTTATTAGATATCTGTACATACTTGAGTTTTTTTTTTTTTTTAAATTGAAAATCATAGTTTTCAAATTTTAATCAACTGTGTAACAACTTTCTTTTGTTACTAAATGTTTATGACCTTTCCTAAACTTGTAATGTTATTTAGATTGTGTAGAGAAAAGCATCTTACAGAAGCTTGCGTACAATTATCAGCTTTGCTAGGACTCTGGGAAGCTGCTGTAGATTTAGCACTAACTGTAAATCTTGATTTAGCAAAAGCTACCGCGTCACAGCCAAATCTTAATGATGAACAACGTAGAATGTTATGGTTGAAAATAGGTAGATATATAAGTTTCTTTTTACATTTCTCTTGATTAGCAATTCTTTAACTTCTGATATTTATAGCCAAACATGTTCTGAGTGGAAAAGATGATATAGAACAAGCGATGGAATTTTTAAACCAGTGTGATTTGATTAAAATTGAGGACTTGTTGCCATTTTTCTCAGATTTCGTTACAATAGATCACTTCAAAGATGCCATTTGCAATTCATTAGAGGTAAGAACAAGAAATAATGAGAAAGTGTTTTATGTCACATTTATTTTATTCATAGTTATTTATTTATTGAAACTATACAATTTCATTGCATACAATTAATATTAATTATTTTAACATTATTTTATATGTGCTTTATGAATTCATTTCTGAATTGTCTAACTCGAATCGTATACATATATATATATATATATATATATATATATATTAGGGTGGTCCTTAATATGGACATTTTTGAATTTCCTTGCTTCCAGGGGCTCAAATGGTTCCAAATTGATAAAAAACAATTTTCTGAAAGCTTTAGCTCTTAATATTAACTTTTAGATAGTGCACAATTCAATCAAACTTTGTATGGAAATAGCAAGAAATTTTTTTTGAAAATTAACAAAAAAAATGTTTTAGGTATAACTTAGCGACAAATGAATGAGTTTCATTCATTTGTTTGTTAAATTACATCTAAAAAACATTTTTAAAGATTCTGAAAATTTTTCCATGCGATTTCCATACAAAACTTTGAATTGCGCACTATCTAAAAGACAATATTAAGAGCTAAAACTTTCAGAGAATAGTCTTTTATCAGTTTGGAACCATTTTGAGCCCTTGGGAGCAAGGAAATTAGAAAATGTCCATATTAAGGACCACCCTAATATATATATATATATATATATATATATATATATATTAATAAATTTGAATTTGATGTTGATGGAACAAAAAAAAAGGAACTAAGGGTTGTATCGCAATTGCACATCAACAAAAGGCCAACAGGGTGTTTAGAGAACTGTTTGCAAACTGTTTAGAGAAGTTACGAAGGGCGATATATAAATTACTACTCATACCACCCCTAAAATGAAAATAGCAACAATAATAACTTTAACAGATCACGCGAACTCAGTGATAAATAACAGACGCAACTACCTTTTCAACAAACAAAACGAGCTTACCGACTATTATTATTATTATTGTTTTTCTAAGAAATTTCTTACATATTATTTATTTGGTTTTAGTTTTTATAATTAAATTGATTGCCACTAAATGAAGGCTAAGATGCTAGCCGAAACGTATGGATTTTAAATAAATTTCTAAAAACTCTCATACTTTTTTTTATTGATGTAACGCCTGACTGTGAAACTCAAATAATATATATATATATATATATATATATATATATATTTATTATACATCTTTTACATATTCTTTATTGTACATTTCATTGGTATTCATATATTGAATAATATTGATTCACTTTATTTACCAATTTTCAATTTTATTTTTATTTACCAGTTTGCAATTGATTTTTTAATCATAATAAATTCTTGATCTAAAAGATAATTTTTAATTTAATTAAGGTATTTGGTCTATTAAAATCTTTTTTTTATTTTGTTTTTTTTTTATTAATTTTGGTACTGTACTTTATATCGTCTCACTTATTTGCTTGTGTGATTATGAATAAGCATCTTTAGCCTTCATTTATTGCTCATTATACAATAGTTTGTTTTTGTACTTTAGAAATACAATCAAAGAATTAAGGAGCTCAAGGAGGACATGGAAGAGGCTGCTCAGGCAGCAGAACTTGTCAGGAAAGAAATTATATCATTCAGAAATCGTGCAGCCATTGTTACGATTGATAATACTTGTGAATTGTGTGATATCACTTTGTTGATCAGGCCGTTCTATCTATTTCCTTGTGGACATAAATTTCATGCTGACTGCTTGCAGACGGAAATCATGCCGTGTTTAGGTTGGAAAAATTTAGAAATTTAATTATAAAAATATTATTGAGTTAAATATTTAAAAACTGTGATGAAGAATTTATTTTCAATAGTCAGTTAGTTTGTTTGGCTTCATATCTTTATTAACTTCCCGTAGGTTAAGTTATAGTAATGGGACAATAATCGAAAAATAAATTTTTGCATATCTTCACGTTTCAGAGGTTTCTAAACATTCTGGCCCACCTCAGAAAAAATGGATGATGTGTGTGTGCGCGTGTGTGTGTTTTGTGTATCAGCATTTTTTCGTCTACGTTTTCGGGCGCACGGATCAACTGATTTGAATGGTTAAAAAAACATTCGAATCCTTTTGATGTGCTGATTAGTTTTTGGCTAAGGCAGGTCAGATTGTTTTTGGGAAAATGATTTTTAATTTCTAAAAAATATTTTTTTTGAATATCGAAAATGATTCGTATTTTAATTTTAATTCTAGCTAAAGTTCTGAAGCTCACTTATATACTACAAATAAATAATTTTAACTTTTTAATTCAGTTTATATAATTCTTATAAATATTAGATGATGACCTTCATTTTAAATTCAATTGTTTGAGTTTTGTTTATTTACTTTTCTGTAAACATATATAAGTTACAGTATTTATAATAATCTATTTGAAAATATTTAATATTTCTCGAATATTTCATTAAGTTATGGGAAGTTTTAACAATTTGCCTTAAGGCACGATGCCATACACCACTAGTTTATTTTCTATCAAATTTCTTTCATCTATTAATATATCTTATTTTTTTCAGCAACGACGAAGAGAAACAAATTGATGGATCTTTTAAAACAATTATCTGGATTACAATTGAATGCAGTTGATAATACAAGTCACAATTCAGCCAGTGTTTCTATGAGGCAAAGGATAAAAGAAGACATTGACATGATAATAGCATCGGATTGTTGGCTTTGCGGGGAGTATATGATACAATCGATTGATAAACCATTTATAAGTGATGATGATTGGGACAAAGTAGCAAAAGATTGGGAATGAAAAACTCATGCAATATTTTTAAATCATAAATAGATAAATGAATTTATACTATATATTATTATGATGCTAGTAATTGAATGAAAAAAAAAACATCTCTTTTGAGCTGATAATTTTGGTGGTTTTAATGATTTGCTTATAATTTTTTTAGGACATTTAATTATAATATGCAATGACGGCCGATGCCATACCATGAGTTCACTACTTTTTTACTTGAAATTAATATGAGAAAAATATTTGTTATAAAATAAGCAATGTTTCTTGAAAGTGATATTTTTAATTGCTTCTTATTGTATTTGTACAAATTTTTAAATATTAATTGTTAGTACAAAAAAAAAATTAACTTATATTACATCACTGATAATACAACAAGGAATTTTAAGAAATTTATTTTGTAAATATTTAACCCTTTTCATTTGGCTTCCCCCTCAGGGACCACTCGGCTGTCACCTCTGAGGCACTCGGCTCTTTGTATACGCAATGACTTTTTTTCATCAATAAGTTAATTATAATGTATTATTTCCTAAGGAGTCGTGCTGATTAGTTTTTGGTAAAGGCAGGTCGAGCCGTTTCAAACGGGACAAAAAGCGCCAAAAATAGTAATTGATTTTCTGAGAAAACGGAGCGTGCGATTTGTATGATTCAAAAAACATTTTATTTGTATTAACGAAATGAAGAACTACTTTCTCAAGAAAATTTTGGGAAGGCAGGTCTAGCGGTTTCGGAGATCAAACAAAAAAAAGTGAAAATGACATATGTTATTTGGCAAACAAAAAATGATCTTTAGACTACACACATGAAATTATCACATATTTTATAGATATTTTAATAACAAATTTTGTTTACTTTTCTACGGGTTCCGTACCAATTTTTATCAGCTATACTGCGACGCGGCGCCCACGCGCGTAAATATTTCGTTTACCTTGCATGTTTTGTAACAAAAAAAAGAACAATCCCCTCAAGTTATATGTACAATATAATGCATTTAAATGGTCGACTGCATTAAAATTTAAATGAAAATGATATAATTTTATATATTACTTTTAAAAACAATTAAGACTTGATGAGTCAGGTTATGTAGAATAATTTGAAATGAATAATATATTAATATGCTAAATATATTAATATTTAGTATTAAATAGCCATTGCAATGGAAACAAAATACAGCATTTTGCAGTGCCTCAAAACATACTTCTGCAAAATATATAAAATAAGTAATACAAAGTATCAAATTTTCATTATCTTATTAATAATAATAATTTATTCATTTAACATCGGTATAAAACATTTAACCACATGTTACTTATAAAAATACATGTACATTATTTATTACACTTTATTATATCACTATTTTACATTCTACTATAAATTTATATAATATTATATAATTAATTTTCCGTAGGGTATATAAGTTATAGTAATCGCAAAAATATCGACAATGAAAATTTTTATATTTTTTACGTTTCAAAAGTTTCTGAACATTTTGGCATACCTTAGAAAAAATTGATGGATGTGTGTGTGTGCGGACACAAATTTTTGTCGACGATTTCGAGAACACGGGTCAACCGACTTGAATAATTAAAAAAAAACATTCGATTCGTATTGATAAGGAGACAATCCGTCCATTAATCACGTGATTGATCTTTAAGGATTATTGGATCCCCCTACCAAATATCACGTTCATTTTTAGTTACGAAAAAAAACGTAAAATTTTTGAATTTTTTTTTCAAATTCAGGTAAAAAATAAATACACGTGATATTTTACTAAACCCCTCCTTTCCCCACGTGATACTTCGTGATTTTTTTGTCAAACCTCTCCCTTCTCTAAAAGCCTCATGTGATTAATCAACGCCCCCTAAAGAGGCGTGCTGATTAGTTCTTGGTAAAGGCAGGTCGAGCCGTTTCGAAGATACGGGACAAAAAGTGCCAAAAATAGTAAATGATTTTTCGAGAGAACGGGGTTTGCGATTTGTATGATCTAAAAAGCATTTCATTTGTATTGATGAATTGAAGAACTGATGAAATTTTTGAGAAGGCAGGTCTAGCGGTTTCGAAGATCCTATAAAAAAACTGAAATAAAATGTCATTTGGCAAACAAAAAATGATCTTTAGACATACACACATCAAATTATCACATATTTTATAGATATTTTAATAATAACAAATTTGGTTTACTTTTCTATGGGTTCCATACCAATGTTTATCCGTTATGCTGCGACGCAGCGCCCACGCGCGTCTTTATTTCGTTTCTACGCAGCTAATCAAATTTTTCAAAAAGCTCAGTTTTTAAAAGTTCTGAAAGAAAATTGAATCTTTTTTCTTTTCTCGCGCGATGCCACTAGTTACCTTTTTTATTATATAATCTTTTTTTTTCTAAATATAGTAAAACCATCGAGCAATTCGTCAAAAAAAAAAACTGAGACATATGAAACCATGTTATATTATTACACTTTTCTGTAAAATTATTAAAAAAACTGTCACGAATTATAATGGCAATGGAATCAATTTGCTAATCATGTTGAAATTGCTTTAAACTTTAACATACCGCAGAAAAAAAATATATTATTGTGAATATATGCTCTTCAATATCGATAAATTCATATCAAACAAATTACATAACATACACAAATAATATCAAGTTTACAACAGTTATGTTTTCGTCAGAATGCGGCACCGAGTTGTTAGTAGATTGTTTTCGAATCGGCGCCGAGCGGTAAGGATTAAATGAATATATTTATGCAAAATAATATTTAATTCTAATTACGAACTTTTTTTGATTCTATCAAACTTATTTAATATTTATATATTTGTTGCGAGTTGTGATGTATTTCAATTTTCCATCAAATAATAAATGTTCATGGACATAATATTATTCGCTAAATTATTTGATTAAATTTATACCGACAAGAATTTTACGCTTCGGATTTGGGATCAGAACATTCATTTTTATTATATGAAAAACTAACTTTCTTTAATGGCATCAGGAAATTGACTTTCCAAGATATCTATTCCTACATCGAAATATTCTTTCTGAACATCAAGGATAACTCACTATGCGATATATAGAAATAAAGTTAAATAGAAAATTGTTAAATATTTTAAAAATGTAGTTGAAATACTATTGCATTTAAATTATTCAAGAGAACTTTTCAAATGATTCTCTTTTTACCACAAACTTGTGTGTTGATAATTATAACCATTTTTTTTAAATTTTTATGAGTCTCATTATAGCATTAGGCCAAATGTATTCATTTTTTTCGCGATTTCTTTTTTTAGATATCGAAAAGCATTTTGATTTTAATTTTAATTCAGGCTAAAACTATTCAAAATTCCGCGACTATTTCACTTCACTACGGGAAGTTTTTGCAATTTGCCTTAAGGCACAATGCCATGCACCACTAGTTATTTTATTATATCTATTCATTATTTTTAATCACGTGAATGTGATAATTTTGAATTTGTTTACAAAAACCTTATAATACACCTCTGTACATTCTATTATGTAATTTTTAACATGAATTTTGGTGCTGTTGGGTGAAACGATTCATTTTATTATGAAGCATTTGTAGGAAGACAAAGACATTTTATTTTAGTACCAGTTGAGTTAATTTTAATAGTGATATTTTGTGCAATATTTTTATGTATGAGACAAAAGTATTTCATGTAAGTAACCATAAGTAATACTTAATCTAGAAATATTTTTATCTTAATTGTTGGTATGTAAAACCCTTACTATTCTAATTATCCAAGAAAGGTAAAATACGTAAACGATAAAGTGTAAGTATCGTATTTTTAATATTTAAATTTTGTCAGCTTTAATTGCTGATTAGGGTAGTTCATACGAGTTGATAGCTTTTTAATTTCTACTAACTACTTCTAAAATCAGAACAAAGTAAAGAGAAAAGACTTGCATTTATTAAAAAAAAAATCGCAAATTATAACAAACATTTATTTAGTATCAGCATTCAATGGTGAATGCAATAAATGCATGTCTCTTCTTTTTACAAGTGGATCCCTTGGTCCGATTTTAGAAGTAGTTAGTAGGAATTAAAAGGCGATCGTTTCAATTTTATTTTTTCTTCAACTCGTATGAACTACCCTAATGCGCTTGCAAATCGGCACTATGTCACTTTGTCCATTTTAAAATTGTCATTTTATTCAAAAGTGAACAAAAATGAATAAATAATAAAAATTCCATCAAAATACATGTGACAGGGTTATTAAAACTAGCCAATTTTTAAATAAGGCCAACTGTGTCATATTGTCCATATATGTATACCTTTTTGTTCGTATTTACCCTATAATGAAATTGTGGTTAGAATTAAAATTTTAACTAGCTGTAAGTGGAATTCTGTCTTAGGGCAATTATGGCATCGTGCCTTAAGGCAAATTGCTGGAACTTCCCGTATTAAAAATTATTATTTTTTTTAAAAACGATTAACATTTTTGACTTATTAAACGATTAACTTTGAAAAAATAAGATTTTTGAGAAACTATAAATTGGACAAAAAATTACTTTTTTTTGAAAAAAAAAATTTTATTTCTTTATTTTGACGTATTGTGGAAGATCTGAACTTTTTTTTCGAAGCAATCGTACTGCTTTAACTGCATACGGACAAAATATAAAGCGCGTAAGCGCCGCGTTGCTGTCTAACGCATAAGCATTGGTACGGAACCCATAGGAATGTTAACAAAATGTATACTTATTGATAAAATCTCTATAAAATATCTGATAATTTGATGTGCATATGTCTAATGATAATTTTTGACCGCCAAATGGCTCACTTTTTTACTTTTTCCTCCATATCTCCGAAACCGCTAGACCTACCTTCATGAAAATTTTATCGATTCTTCATCTTGTCAATACAAGTGAAATGTTTATTCAAATCGGACGCTCCGTTCTCTTAAAAACTGAGTTACCGTTTTCGGCACTTTTTGCCCCGTATCTTCGGAACGGCTAGACCTGCCTTCGCCAAAAACTAATCAGCACGTCTCCTTATCAATACGAATCGAATGTTTTTTGAATTATTCAAATCGTTTCATCCGTGTTCCCGATTCGATTCGCATTGATAAGGAGACGTGCTGATTAGTTTTTGGCAAAGGCAGGTCTAGCCGTTCCGAAGATATGGGGCAAAAAATGCCAAAAACGGTAAACCAATTTTTGAGAGAACGGAGCGTCCGATTTGAATGATTCAAATAACATTTTATTTGTATTGACTAAATAAAGAACTGTTTGAATTTTTGGAAAGGAAAGTGCAACGACTTCGGAGATATGGAGAAAAAAGTAAAAAAATGAGCCATTTGGCGGTCGAAAATGAACACTTGACATATGCACATCAAATTATCAGATATTTTATAGAGATTTCAATAATAAGTATAAATTTTGTTTACATTCCTATGGGTTCCGTACCAATGTTTATCCGTTAGACAGCGACGCGGCGCTTACGCGCTTTGATATTTCGTCTCTATGCAGTTAAAGCAGTACGATTGCTTTGAAAAAAAGATCAGAATTTCCAAAATATTTTAAAATTAATTTTCCTTCAAAAAGTCTTTTTTTTTTCAAAAAAAAGTAAATTTTTGTCTAAAATTTATAGTTTTTCAAAAATCAGAGTAAATTTGTTTCGAAAATGTTTATCTTTTAAAAAAATAATAATTTTTGTACGGGAAGTTCCAGCAATTTACCTTAAGGCACGATGCCATGCGCCCACTAGTTCAGTACCATTTTGTATGAGAAGCGCGACGTAACATAGCCTTACCACAACATTGGTCTATTTTACGGCAGAATCAACCCCTTAATATTTATCTTGTAAAAATCTTTATATTGCATTGGCGATGAGAAAGCAACTTTGAACCTTTATGAACAAAGTGCGCATAGGAGAATGGTTTGATCAGAAATGCCACAATTAGTATATGTAAATATTTACATATGTAGGTATGTAGGTATTATTTTTTATGTCTGTATTATATTCGATGTTTGTGGATATATTCGTCGTCGTGCAAGTTGAGGCCGCTGCCGTTAGAGCTGGCTATAAAATCGAATGGGGCACTTATTGAACCGGTGTTTATCACGTGTTATAATGTTTTCCACAGTCTGCCTGCCTGCCTGCCTGCCGTTCACCACTCGGGCGAACGTTTTCCCTTATCGCACTTTATTCGCGACAAAAATATACACGTGTCATATGTAAACAGATTTCACTCGATCAGGTTCGAATTTACTTCATCGCAAAAATCATATCAAATTCAGTCAAGTGCGACCAGAATCCCAGAATACGACTATTCGAGATTTTTTTTAGCAATACTAATAGATAATGAAGATTTTTAACTTGCCACAGGGTAAGCTATAGTAATCGCAAAAATTTCAAAAATAATAATTTTTATTTACTTTCACGTTTCAGAGGTTTCTGAATATTTTGGAATGTATGTGTGTGTCTCGGTATGTCGAAATCAATACCGTCCTGGTATAATACCGTCTAAAACCTCCGATTTGCCCTTGCCTCTGATCCTAACGGAAACCGCCGTTTAGGCATTACCTCGTGGAGGAGGATCTAGAATATTATCATTCTTAACTTGATTTTAATGTATGTGTGTGTGTGTTCGGATACAATTTTTTGTCGACGATTTTGGGAACACGTTTCAACCGATTTCAATGATTCAAAAAACAACGATTAGTTTTTAGCAAAGGCAGGTTTAACCGTTACGAAGATACGGGGCAAAAATGTGCCAAAAACGGTAATTCAGTTTTTAAGAAAACGAAGCGTCTGCTTTTAATAATTAAAAAAAAAATTTACTTGTATTGACAAGATGAAGAACTGATTAAATTTGTCAGAAGGCAGGTCTAGTGGTTTCTGAGATATAGTACAAAAAGTAGAATATAAAGTAAAAATGACATTTTGCGGTCAAAAATAGATATTTTATAAAGAATTTAATAAGTATAAATTTTGCTAACATTTCTATGGGTTTCGTAACATCGTTTGTTCTTCAGACCGTAATGCGGCGCTCACGCGCTTTGATATTTTGTCTCTAGGCAGTTAAAGCAGAGTGCGATTGCTTTGAAAAATGTTCAAAATGTCCAAATTATTTCAGAATATACAATTTTTTTTTTAAAAAAAGTCCTTTTTTAAAATATCAATTTTTTCAGCCTTTTTTCAAAAAAGTCTTTTTTTTTCAAAAATCTAAAATTTCTTAAAAATCTCTTTTTTTCAAAGCTTAAAAGATTTTTTTAATCTTTTTTGAAAAAGTTAATTTTGGGCACGGAAAGTTCCAGCAATTTGCCTTAAGGCACGATGTATGATACGGTGTATGATACACCACTAGTATTTTTTTTGTTTAGCGAACAAAATGTACTTACGCATCCCACTTGGGTTTTGGTCTGAGTATGTTGTGTTTAATACCGCCTTGTTATAATACTCACTAAAACTCCCGCATATCTCTTGCCTCTGGTTACCCTGGAAACCGACATTAGGCAATACTTTCTGGGAGGAGGATCTAGAATGCTATGGTTCTTTCTCGTAATTATATTTTCACCTTATTTCTGTTAAAATGTTATTAAATTAGAACTTCAACATTAAAATGATAATAACCATTTCAATATCATTTTAACAGAAGTAATAGGCCGAAAATCGAAAATGCAAATTTTTGCATATCTTCACGTTTTGAAGGTTTCTGAACATTTTGGCATACCTCAGAAAAAATGAATGTGTGTGTGTCGTGTGTTCTGTATGCTCGCATTTTTTCGTCCACGTTTTCGCGCGCACGAATCAACCGATTTGAATGGTTCAAAAAACATTCGATTCCTATTGATAGGGAGATGTGCTGATTAGTTTTTGGCATGGCAGGTACAGCCGTTACGGAGATACGGAGCAAAGAGTGTAGAAAATACAGAGTAAAAGTGTAGAAAATGTAGAACGAAGTATCCGATTTGAATTATCTAAAAAACATTCAATTTGCAATGATTGGGAGAAGAGGTGATTAGTTTTTGGCAAAGGCAGGCCCAGCCATTTTGAAGATACGGAGCTAAATGTGTAAAAAATTGCAGTTTTTGAGAGAACTAAGCGTCCGATTTAAATGATTCAAAGAACTTTCTGCTTGTCTTAACAAAATAATTGTTTTTGATAAAAACATTTTTTTTGTTTCAACATTTTTTTTTCAAAAAAAAAAAATTGTATATCGAAAATAATTCAGATTTTTTAATTCTGACTATAGTTCTAATATACTTTAAACAAATAATTTCAACTTTGCAATTCAGTTTATATAATTCTTATAAATATTAGACAATGTTACAATATTAATAATAATCTATTTGAAAAAATATTCAGTATTCCTCGAACATTTCGTTACGGTACGGGAAGTTCCAGCAATTTGCCTTAAGGCACGATGCCATACACAAACTAGTTTTAATTATTTTTAAACAAATTCTAATTATTTTTTTAAACCGAAAATAATTCAGGTTTTAATTTTTTTAATAAATAATTTTAACTCTGCAATTCAGTTTAAATAATTCCTATAAATATTACACAATGATATAGTATTTATAATAATAGATATAGTATTTATAATAATTTATTTCAAAACATTTAATATTCTTCAAACATATGTCGTTACGGTACGGGAAGTTCCAGCAATCTGCCTTAAGGCACGAAGCCATACACAAACTAGTTTTAATT